TAACACATCAGAATGGCTGAATTGGGCCAGAGCGGTGCAAGGACATTGTCACATCTCCTGGTAACACACCCTTTGGCTCTGGGCCACTAGGGCTCAGAGGCTTCCTCTCCTTTCACATAACCACCTCAGTGACACCAAGAAGTCATGGGAAAAACTCACAGAACAAAGGCTGCAATCCAGCCCCTTGAGGTAGAACTACAACCAGGAAAGAAAACTCTGTACATAAAAAAGCCGGGGAGCCACTGCAGTCCTGAGGCAGAGGCTACCCTGGGAGACCACAGGGTTCAGAGCGGCAGCATGGCAAGCAAGAACCTGGAAGGCAAACCTGCTTGGCCACATCCTTTTCCACTGATCAGCACTGGGAATCCCACCAAGGGGCTGAAGTTATTTTGCCTTGAAGCTCTGCTCCAGGTTAAACACTTAAAAGAGTTCCACTTTTCTGTAGGGTTAGGTAAGTTATAACTAAAAGCTGAAGCAAATATGGAAATTCTTAAATTTGCCATATACCTACTTAAACTCGAGATTTTATTAAGAAATACATTGCCAGCCTCTGTCAAGGGCTGTGGACGCCAGACCTCTCATAGGATGTTCTTGAGGAGAGTACTGACTCTGAAATGGCTCTGAACTCCTCTCTCTACCACCTGACATTCAATTCCACATCTTCTCGTGTCTCATCTGAGAATAAAGACCTCTTTTTGACAAGCTGTAGAGCTTCTTATTTTAAAACTTTCCTTTTTTTTCTGGCAACTTCCACTTCCTCAACTCCTTTCACTTTCTTTTTCATTTATTTTTAATAGCAGAGATATTGAACTACTGTGAAACTACATTTCCAATATCTTTGATATAAACTCTCGTGCTTCTGGGACACATGTGCCATTCTAGCTCTACTTTGACTCTCTGCATTTGCTACAACAACTGTCAATCAACTGCAGTTTAAAGCAGGGGTCTTTTTTAGATCATGGCAGCAAGGAACACCAATATTTTTGCTTTACACATCTCTGTGATCCAAGACAGGTATTTGGAAAAATCTTCCATGGCAAGAGGAATAAATCTGTTAAAAAATGCTAACAGCACTGAAAAGACAAAAACAAGCGGACATAGCTAAAATAAATTAAAAGTTTCAAGGACTTAATGACTTGTATTAAATAACCACTTTTTTTCCTACTTCACCGAAGACCAGGTACAGGCCATAAACACTGTACAGCTAATTTGTTACTGTGAAAACTAAAAATAAATCCCAGTGTACGTATTAATTGATTGCCTGATATTTATTCATTAGCTTAACCCTTGCAAAGCATCCCACCCACTTACTGGAATGTACAAGACTGTCAAACTCCAATATCCCTTTATAATCTTCTATATTTTTCTAGACAGAGGCCACAGTCCTCAACAAGTAAAGGACAGAGTAAAGTAACAATGAGACAAAGGGTGTCAGGGAGTAAGAAGATTGGGGCTGCTCCATGCGAGGAGGGTATGAGCAGGAGCTGAGGGTGACCCTGGCACAGGCCATGCCCTCACTGACCAGGGTGCAGTCACACTGTGTCTGGAGATGATAGGCAGAGATGATGTGGGTCCTTCACAGCCCTACACGTGGCAAGTGATGAATTGGTCCAGGGTCCTTCCAGGGAGTCCCATCAAGAGCAGCAGGAGACAGGGCTGGAGGCAGTGCTGGAGATGTTTCAAGGTCCATGTAGGTTACAGGTACACCTGCAGACACTGTTCAGGGCAGGACTGGGACTGCTCAGGGCAACTAAGGCCAATTGGCACCCTCACAGCTCTGAAAAAGTACCATTTATATACAACGTACTTCAGTGCAATGTGCACACATTTACACTGAACAAAGGGTTGGTCACATGAAAAGCCTTGTTAAAGACAGCATCGCTGCTTCTGGATTTTGGCCTGTTATTACTGTTGTTTGAGTTTTTTTGCAACTTGTGCTTCTTTTTGATAATGGGAAATAATCTGAACAATTATGAGGGTATTAATGAAAAGGAAAAGCAAGCCTGCCAACCATATAATTAAAAAAGTGTTATATCCTTTGAACTCCAGATGGGCGGGAGCCACAGGCCTTGTCCGACAAACCACAGAAAGAGAAGCAGCACACCACGATGCCAGGACATCTTAACACCAGGCATTACGAGGGGCAAAAGGCAGAGATACCAGACAAAGTACTGCGATGTGCATACTTTGTTAAAGCTCACAAAAATAGCAGTGTGTAGGAAACAACAGAAGGCAAGGTCTCTGTAAAATGCTACGGACACAACCAGGAGCAAAAGCAGCTGGGGCAGGAAAGCTGCGAGCCCAAGGGTAAAACTCCATTTGCTCTCCGCAGTTAAGTACAACATGTAGAAATAGGGAGAGAAGTTATGGCGGATGTCCCTCCTGGTCAGGTGGTAGAGGTAGGCATGCT